CCAGACACCCAGTAAACACGTCTGTCCAAAGAGAGTTAAATCTTCCCAGAAGCATAGCTAGTCCTTGAGACAAGCGGATTCATTTTCCTAAGAAAAGGGATACCCCAAGAGCTCCACCTAAAAACAGGGCAGCTCCATTATAAATTTAAATCTGAAAAGCCAGGGAAGCTTGGCCATCTGCTTTAAAACAGGAAATCAATGACTCTCCACAAGTCTCCACCGGTGGGTGAAATGCCTGGGTGGCTTTGGACTTTGACTCATCTGCAAATGAGTGACACAGAAGCTGTGACGGGGACCCTGCCCATTTCTTTTTATCAGAGGCTCTAAAATTGCAAAAGTTAAAGAGGAAGTCCCTAGGCAGGAGTTCTGCAAAGGGGTGCCAGGAAGAAGGGTGGGCTGGGAGAAGTGAGACGGGAGGAGAGGTCGGGTTCCTGAGCTCCAGAGAGAAATGCCTGTGGCCTCTCGGCCATCACCGTGGCACTCCCAACAGACGCTATTTATTGGCAATAAGCGATTGTTGCCATGACGGGGGTGACAGAGTAGCCCACAGACTCTAAAACGAATCCAAATACTTGTAGGCTGTTTGCTGGATTCAAACAAGGTTATTTCATCACAAAATCCACAATTTTGACCTGCAGAAGCCCAAAGACCTCTGTGTACACATTTGGCAGGAGCTCTCAGAGTCCCCTTTTTGGTATTTTTTATAAGAAATATGAAAATAAAAGAGAATTTACAGCGATAGCTAGAACCTAAGTAAAATTACGTTTCAATTTTAGATTCTTTCCATAAGGGCAAAGAAGTGTATCTCTGATAAAATCCTTAACGTGATGCTTTAACAGAAGAGTGTTGCTCAGAGTGCAAGTTCCTTTTTGGTCTTCTCTCCGGCACAGCCTTGGGCACAGACCTGTCTGCTGGGATCTCTAAACGCAACTGTTCCTCGGGAGACAAATTGGGCAAACAGGTCAAGAAGGAAAATAAAAAGGCCAAAATAGGCTCCTGCCCTCTGGGTCCTTGCGGTATAAGGACCCCTTGGAGGTGTGTAAACTTAGGGAAAGAGAAGGGAAGTCGCTCCCCTGAGGTCTCTGGCTGAGACTGCTGCTTCCTCCTGGCTTTCTCAATGGGCAGACCTAACAGGCTCAGTCAGTAATTGCAATACCAAACTCAAAAATGAAACTTGCTGTGGCTCATGCCTACAATCCTAACACTTTGGGAGGCCAAGGCAGGAGGAGAGTTTGCAGCTAGGAGTTCAAGACAAGCCTGGGCAACATAGCAAGATCCTGTCTCTATAAAAAGCTAAAAAATTAGCCAGGCATGGTGGTGTGCACCACACCTGTGATCCCAGCTCTGGGGAGGCTGAGGTGGCAGGATCACTTGAGCCCAGTTCAAGGCTACAGTGAGCTATAATTGCACCACTGTACTCCAGCCCAGGCAACACAGCAAGACCCTGTCACTAAAATAAATAAATAAATAAAAATGGATATTTGTTAATGCATATTTTAAAAAAGATTTTAGTTTAGCCAGGCACGGTGGCTTCCGCTTGCAATCCTAGCACCCTGGGAGGCCAAGGAGGGTGGATTGCTTGACCTTACAAGTTCAAGACCAGTCTGAGCAAGAGTGAGACCCCGTCTCTAAAAAACAGCTGGGCGTGTGACGGACACCTATAGGCCCAACTACTCGGGAGGCTGAGGCAAGTGAATCACTTGAGCCCAGGAGTTTGAGGTTGCTGTGAGCTATGACATCACTCCACCTAGGATGACAAAGTGAGGCTCTGTCTCAAAAAAAAAAAAAATTTTTTTTTTTTACTTTAGCGGATGTTATCTATAACTGCAGTTCCTTACAGAGCTCTACAACTTTGCAAATACCACTTAACACATGGCTAAACTTCTCAGCCACAATAGGAAGCTTTCTTAGGATCCAGGAAATTCCACCCAACACAATCCCAATAAATACTGCAATGAATACGAGTCCTCAGTTTCTGCATCCCCAAGTCTTATCGGGACTGCCTGCACCTAATTCTCTAATTCTATAACCTATAGAGTCTCTCTTCTTGAAGGAGACCATTTTCCTGAATTTTTAAAAAACCCTCCAAAAAGTTTCGTCATCAACACTAAAGCCCAACTCTCCCCTCTCCACCCTCCCAATCAATCACCAAGTGATGCCAATTCCTCCTCCCTAGGATGGCTTGCAAGCCTGTCCCTGTTTCACTGACTCACTTTCTAGAGAGGTACACAAACCACTTCTGACACAGGCCCCTAGTTCCATTCTGAGGTCCACTCTCTGAGCAATCTTCCTACCTGTTCTATCCCTCTCAGGTGCCTTTGAGAACAAAGAGGATTCCCTCTTCCTGGTAAGTCCTCCAGGAAAGGACATGGTACTAGTGACACTTCCCAGTCACAGCTGCAGCCTGCTGGCCGCTTCCCTTCCCCATTTCTGCCATTTTGGTTACTCAGGAAGTCTGCTGACAGGGAGGTACTATAGTTGGTTATCTGCAGGAGTGCTGCAGTCCAGCAAGAGCAGGGGTGAGCAGACAGAAGTGGCCAGACCTGGGCCCAGACGATGCGTCATGCTTTAATACACTATGCAGAGGCAGTTTGCTGTCCTGAGCTCTGCAGCCAGGGGAAGGTGTTCTGGCCCTGGGCAGGCAGCGTCCCATTCAGTACGTCATTGTCCCTATCTTTAGTAAGGAAATGACAGTGCCTACCTAATAGGTTTGTTCTGAGGACCAGATGATGTAACAGCAGCTTAAAGACTGTAACAACTACAGCAAGCATGACGGGTGCTGGCTACTAAACACTGCACACATTTAAAGCGAATGAGGTCGTTCTATGGGTGCTGATTCAGAAACAACGTGCGTGCCCTAGTGCTCTGTGAGGAGGCTACCGAATAACACGTTTACTGTGAGTCTATTTTGGTCAGAAAAAGACACAAGAGAGGTATGTGTAAGTGCGCTCAGATACCTGTGAAAAGCACACGTCCCCCAAACACGGAGAGGTCACTGCTGAGGGAGGGAGGGAGACAGTGGTGGGGCGGGGGCGGCGGGCGTGCTTAAACAGGTCTTTGCTTGAATTACCACATATGTCTTACTCTTGCAACTAATTTTAAAATTTCGAACATTTTAAAGTAGCCTTCCTACCCTTCAAACTGAACTTCTCTAATGTTCTACTCCAGAAGATCCACTAAATGGAAGGAAGGGAGGCCGACGGCGGAGGCGGGCCCGCAGCCTTCCCGCCGCTGCGTTCGGGCCCACATGCTCCGCACAGCCTTCGGCACGTCGGGTCGTCCTGGTACAGGGCGTGCAGACATCCTCAAGGGTCTCCTTCCTGCCCCTCGTGTTCCCCTGGGGTTTTCCTTTATCGTGTCCAGGTAAGTAGCCGCCACTTCAGGGTTTTAGTATCTTCCTTTCTACCCTCCGAGGCTTTCTCACCCTGCTGTTTTTCGGGTCCTCGGGTGCCCTTGCCCTGGGAAACTCAGAGTCAGCCTTCGCGGTGCAAGGGTGCAGACGGGAGCTCCACACACGTTTGAAGCAGTGGGTTTGAGGGGGAAGGGGGGAGAAACAGCGCTGAGCGTGTTTTGACAGGCACCTTTCTCCTCCCGTGGGGCTTTGCTTACACAGGTGTTTATTCGGGGACGTGGCCGCGCTATCCGGCTCCGACCCCCTGCCTCACTCTTCCTGGGTCAGGAGCAGAATTGTCACTGTTCCAGCCCCCATCTTACCCCCCTCTGCCCCCTCTCCACCTCCACGCCGCAGTCGTCTGCCCCCAGCAGCACCCGTTTACTATTTCAGCCCGCGGAGAAACTCGCTTACAGATGACCCGCGAGGAGAAGAGACTGACGCGGAATCCGGCCCGCGCGCCCCGGAACCGGGCGCAGGGAGCCCCACCTGCCGCGGTGTCGGGGCCTCCAGAACCGGGTCGGCACCGAGGCGCCCAGGCGTCGGGAGTGCTCATTGGTTCCCGAGAAACCAATCAGCGAACGAGGCCGCGCACCGGGAGGGGAGGGCCAAGATTACAGAGCTGAGGGGGGGTCACAGGAAAAGGCGCAGGTGAGCCGGCCGCCGGGGTTTCGCGGGCGCCTTTGGACCCACAGAGTCAGTTAAGCCCGGAATTCTGCTCTAATCCCCCCTCTGGGTTTCCCAGTTTCGTAAAGCTGAAACAGCACCTGATGGGGAAGAGGCGGGACTTATCCTACCATTCACGAGATGGTTATTACTAGTCTATGGAAGAGCTGCCCTGGAGTAGGGGACGGACGCTAAACCCCTCTCCTTTCCTGGTTCCATTCCAGGCCGGAACCCTAACTCGATCGGTTCTTGAAATAGCAAATCACTCAAACCCTCGCTTAATCGCCAAAGCTGATTACCGAAATGCCATATTACACAGTTGGAATAAGTTTCCCCCTCCCCAAGGACTGGGGACCAGTACGAGCATTTACTGCGTTTTCCTGCCTGCTAAAGGAGAACCGATGGACGCGAGGGCTGCAGTCAGGGAAACGGAGACCTTCGGAAATGCACCAGCACGCGCTCTGACGCGGCCGCCTCTCTGGGTCGGACGCCAGCTCCCAAGCACAGCGGCATCGCCAAGCCTCTACCCCCACAAACTCTCCACGCGGGGGCACAAGGATATTTTTGGAGGGTGGGCTAACAGGTACCAGATCTCCCTACTGTGTTTCAAACTTCAGCTGAGCTGTTCCACCCACTTTTTCCCAAGAGATACAGCCCCCGGATCCCCAGACCAGTCCAACCTTAGCTTTCCTACCGCCCAGAACCACCACCCAGCCCTCTACCACCCACACCCGGGCTGGAAACGCCGCGTCCTTGGGGAAGGGGGAAGGGGCAAGGGGGAGGAGGAAACGGCCAGTGCAAGTAAAGAGCTCCCGGCCGAGGCCTGGGCGCCGGAAGCCAGTGGTGAGCCTGGGGGCCGAGAAGCAGGGAGAGAAAGCGGCTGGAACCGTGCGGGGAAGGGCCGCGGAGCGAGCAGGGGCGCCGCCGGTGTCGCTGCACTCACTCTGCGTAGCCAGTGGCCCAGGGCAGCCGCCGGGTCTCCTTGAGGATGAGGATGGGGCGGGCGATGTGGTCGGCGCTGCACTCCACCTCGTCCTGAGACAGACCCAGGAACTCCGGCCGCCCGTAGGGGAAGCGCAGGGGCAGGTCCGAGCCTCCGCAGCCGCCGCCGCCGTGCTCGGAGCCCGAGCTGCCAGCCATGATGCCGCCCATGAAATTGGCCACGGCAGATTTCACGCGAG